CCATCATTAAGAGGTTAGGGAGAGACCAGCAAAAGAGGCTTAAAAGAAATGGCCAGTGAAATAAGAGGACCTAAAACCTAAAAAGCGAGATATTCTGAAAACCAAGTGGAGAAAATGTTTCGGGATAAACTGTGTCAAGTGCAGATAAGTCTAGGCAGATGAGGACTGAGAACTGACCACTATATTTAACAACATGGAGGCCATTGGTCATCTTGGAGAAGAGCATTCTGTTGGTTCTATTGTAGACTAAGAGTGAATGCCTGATTGAAATGCGATTAAAAGAGGCATTAAAGACAACACGCATGGATAATTCTTTTAAAATTTTTATTGTGAGGAAGAGCAAAGAAATGGGTAGCTGCCAGGATAAGAGCTATCAAAAAAAGTTTTAACTTCTTTTGCTTGTTGCTTTTAAGATGGGAGAAGAAAGAGCATGTTTATGTATTGATAGAAATGACTTAACTAAGAGAACACCATAGATGATGTAGGAGAGAGAGGCAAGAACTGCACAGTGGTTCCATGAGTAAGTAAGAGAGGTCAACTGAGGACACAGGAGGAATTGGCTTTAAGCAGGTGCACAGAAAGTTCATCTTTGTTAGAAGGTTGGAAGGTGGATTATTTGAATTCTAAATGTGGTAGTGAGAATTTTTCACTGGTTGTTTAAAGTTTTTTCAATGAACTAAGAAGCTGAGAGTGAGGTTCAGGGAGGGGGTGTTGGAGTCTTGGAAAGAGCAGAAGAATAAATGAATTAGAGGAGTGCAATATGGATTGCCAGGCAGCTTTAAGGGCCCACTTGAGATCAGCGATCATGAAGTTGTGGGACATCAGCTGGTATAGATGAATGTTTGTCTCTATCCACATTGAGGTGTGAGTAAAGATATGGAGTAGGCAGAGAGTTACATTTAGCAGACTTTAATTTGGCCAAGCCAGTAGGACAGGGAGAGAGGACAAGAAAGTGACATGACAATATACAAGGGCGTACTTATAATGGTTAGTGAATTGGTGACAAACGCTAAGCTAGTGAAGGAGAGGAAAGAGTATATCAAAGTTGCTGAAGGAGGATGAAAAAGTACTGGGACGAAAGGATGTCTGCCCCACCTCCGTGCCAAAGAATGAGAGGCAAGCATAGCCACCTTTTAAAGGGGATATAGGGGAAGCAGTGTCCTTAGGGTAGAATCAGTTTATCTTTCGCGCATGAGAAAGTTGAGATAGGATGGATTTGGTTAGAGCTGGGTAGTAAATTCCAGATGACGCAGTGAGTAGGAGTAAGAGAGGAGATCATAAAAGGAAATGTACATAGAGATGTGTTGTGAGTCCGGGATTTCTTATGATCACTGACATAAACAAGGATAATGGATATAATGAGATTAGTTCTGCTGGCTTGGGGTGTATATTGGTGGCAAGATTGTGAGGACAGAAAGAACCAGGTATCTGGGGCTTTCTTTTCAACTATTTCACTTAACTCTTCCACTACAGTAGGGTTAAGTAAAATAGTTTGTGCAAAGGGGTCAGTTTAGTCCTTGACAATAATCAGGGGGAATTATTTTGATTACTATTAGTAAAAGTAGGTGAGACTTGATTCTAAAACTTTTGAGTCTTTAATGAGGCAAGGCTGAAAAGAAATTGGGCCGATCTTGGCCCAAATGCAACTGATATGAGCTGCTATTGATGTCTCCAGTCTTATTAGCATTTAAGATTGATGCAGACTTTAAGATATCTACAGATAGAGGGCTACTGTGAGATAATCTTGTCTGAACTATAAAATCAGACCATACCTTTGTGGAAGGGATTGGAAATTTCTACTGTCAATTATCTTGAAAAGTCATTAATCATGAAATAAAATATGAAGTCCCAGGAGGTGGGTGTTTGTCTACAGCTATGTAAACCACTCTCTGTCTGAGGATATTATTAGCTTGGTATAGGTGTTGTGACATGGAGAGTTATCGACTGCTTTAAGTGAAGTGATGGAAGCTTGGAATGAGATAAGGAGAAGACCCTTTAAGAGAATCTGAGTTGAGTTGGTCTATACAGTAATTATAAATTATTCTTTATATTATATGTTTCTTCCCTTATGTACATACCTAATTTCGGAAGTATTGTAGGGCTTATGGAAGGGATAGCCTGTGATTTAAAATAAGGAAGCTAGGGACAGCAATGATTTTTCTCTCAACACCAGTAACAGTAGTTATCTCCCGAGGCTCAGGAGCAACAGTGGCAGCAGGCAGGACATTCAGTGGGAGAATCTTCTTGTATAATGTCTCACCCTTGGTGACTCAGAAATAGCTGGTACATCTTTGCTGGCAGAGTGGTTTTGACAATTAGGCAATTTCGTCATTAATAGTCAA